AAAATAGACAAACTATCCTCTATGCATACCTTATCTTCCTTTGCTCTTCGAACATCCGCCCTTCGAATCTGTCTCTGTCTTGATCTGGGTGTCACTAGCGAAGTCCCCTTCGCCCAGATCTCCTCCATGCTTTCTGGGTAACACATTTGGAGAAGACGCTGCTTTTTGTTCGTCGATTGTCTAATTTCTGGGTTCTGCAATATCTGTCTCTTATTACACATCAAATACAAGAAAACTGAAATTCCAGGTTGAAGGATTTAAAAAATCAAATTACATATTCATTTCAGAAACATAAGAAATACCAAAAAAAAAGAAAAGAGATCTATGATAGAAATTGCCCAGATATCTTATGTCAGGTAATAAGGCAAATTAACGAGAAAGTTGATCCCAATCCCAGGGCAACGAGCGATCTTGGTCCCGTTTGACGATTTGGATTTGTTTAGTCAGGCCAAGATGTGCCATAAGAAGGGCTACGTGAGTGAGCAACTCCTGGCCATGCCTCAGCTGCGCCGCATGCTCTTTCCATTCACATTCGGATGCAGCAAAATGCCAGCATTTCCATCCACACATCAGCAATCATCTTCCATTTTTCTTCATGATCCCACGGTGATTCCTCCACCAATGCTTGCAACTGACATATATACCAAGTTGCACCCTTCAAGCATCACTGACTTAGTTCGAGCAGGTTTTATTAATTCAGAACCCAAAAATGGTGAATTTAGTTGGCCCAATTGAAGCAAAGCACTGGCTATCTCATTTCTGTTCAGTGAAGTCTGCTTGTTAAAGAGACTTAGCACCTCCTCCTGAGTTTCTCTTATCCTCACCTCACCGATCCCCTTAGGGAGCATAGGTGGCCGCACCAGCAAGAGATACATCATATAATCTGACAAGAGCTTGCTAATTTGGCAATATGAACTCAAAAGAGCGCTGGAAAACCTTCTATGATCATCAGGGAAAATAATAAATGTTGCAATATGCCAGACAAGGAGAGCGTGACTGAATGCTACACTTTCAATGGCACGTTCAAACTACTCCCAATTAACTTTATTGCTATTAAGCACGTTGCGTCCCCAACTCTTCAATAAATCTATAAGCTTACGATATATTTTTTTTTTTTGATCAGCAAAGCAAACATACTATATATATTAAAGAAGGAGCATAAGAAATACTCCCAAAAACAGAGTACAGTCCGGAGAAATCAAGGAACACAACCCAGTTTACCTACTACATACAAGAAACTTAAAATCTGTTCCAGCAAAACATAAACGGCCTGCACACCCAAAAACCTCACCCTGTCCTAGAATCCATACAACAGAGTAAAAGCACAGATTGTATACCTCCCCCCCGTTAGCTAGGGGCCCCTATTGCCTTCGAGAATTGCTTCCTCATTCTTTTGTGCCGTTTGACATCCTTTGCACATTCCATCGGACAAGATTGCCATTCATAAAAGGAGAAAACGCATCCCTTCACTTTAGACTTCAACCATAAGAAGGTTTTTACTTGCACCCTTTCCAGCATATTCTCTGGAATTCCTTCATCTTCTCGAAATATCTGAGTGTTCCTTCTATACCACACATACCAAGCAGCTGCCAGAAAAACACAAGAGCCCATCTCCTTTCCTGCTGTACTGCCCAACACATCTATGAAAAAATCTGCCACTCCCCTTACTGTATTGGGTAAAACACTCTCCAAACCCCACCAATTCAACACCTCAACCCACACCAACCACGCTTTATAACATACACAAAATAAGTGATTAGCTTCCTCCACTATCCCACTACAAAAAACACAGTACATACCTTCCTCTTGCAATTGCACCCCACGCTTTTGAAGATTTACTTTAGTTGGAAGTCTATTTAAACACAAACGCCACCCGAAAAAAGCAACTTTTGATGGAACCAAACGGCACCATATTAATTTATTCCTCTGTTCCTCCAATACTCCTTCCATAGAATCTAGATAGTCGTAGGCTATCTTTACAATATATCTGCCATCCATCGAATGCCTCCACTTCCAAACATCCCCAACCCCCTCCTTCACTTGAACACCCTCCAGCGCCCTCTCCAGCACCACCTCCTCATCCTTCTCACGTCCTATGGTACCTCTCCTCCACTCAACACTCCAACACCATCTACCCTCGTTCCAACTTCCCATTTCATTAACCTTTCCTTCCTTCTTAACCGATAGAGCATATAATCTTGGACATAAGTCCCTAAGCGTTTTTTCTCCGACCCACCTCTCTAGCCAAAAATCCACCTTATTTCCTTCACCCACTTCCCACTTGAATCCCTCCACTAGCATATTCTTTAGTCTCGAAGATTGACCCCCCATTCTAATAATATCCCTCCACAGCTTTGACACCCTCGGGCCTTCAATCATTGTAATATCGACCTCTCTCCTTCCTCCATAATATTTCTCCCTCACCACCCTTTTCCATAAGTTCTCAACCCCATCGCCGAATCTATACCACCACTTTCCTAACAAAGCCCAATTTTTCCTACGCATATCTAGCACCCCTAAACCTCCCTTCACCTTATCACGACAAATACATTCCCATTTCACCCAAGAAATCTTTTTATTTAAATCTGGCCCACCCCATAGGAATCTCCTTTGTATACTAATTAGCTCCACCAAAACAGACTTTGGAAGTATAAACAGAGACATATAAAAAATAGGTAACGCTGAGAGTACCGATTTCAGTAAGGTTAGGCGACCTCCAAAGGAAAGAGTTGAAGCCTTCCATCCAGCCAGCTTTGCACGAAATTTGTTCACCACCGGCTCCCACACCTTCTTTCTTCCGGATTTACTGCCTATGGGCAATCCCAAATAAAGAAAAGGTGTTTGACCTACTCCACATCGTAGCGTACCAGCAGATCCCTTTAACCATCCCTCCGACACATTATATCCATAGATACTGCTTTTGTTAAAATTTATCCGCAAACCGGACATAAGTTCGAACCATCTTAAAACATCCTTCACCATTCGAATATTCTCCGCGTCCGCTCTGCCCATAATTATTGTGTCATCGGCGAACTGAAGTAAAGACATGGTCATCCCTTTCTTTCCAATCTCGATTCCATGAAGCATTCCTTCCGCCACTGCCTTCTGTACCAAGCCTTGTAACCCCTCACCGATCATCAAGAAAAGAAAAGGAGATAAAGGATCCCCTTGACGTAATCCTTTACCTACCTCAAATTCCTTTGTCGGGCTTCCATTTACCAAAACCGAAGTTCTCGCCGTTGAAAGGCACTCCTTGATCCATCCTCTCCACTTTGTTCCAAACCCAAAAATACCCATCATCCAGTCCAAAAATGACCAATCCACGCAGTCATATGCCTTTTCAAAATCTGCCTTGAATACAAAAGCTGGCTGTTTCCTGTACTTTATCTCCTCAACTACTTCATTCAACACCAATACACTATCAACCAATTGGCGTCCCCCCACAAAAGCGGATTGGGTTTCACTCACTATTTCTGGCATCACCGATTTCAATCTATTAGCCAATACCTTTGCTAATAGCTTATAGACACATCCTAACAAGCTAATTGGTCTATACTCCTTTAAATTTGCAGCATTCAATTTTTTAGGGATCAAAGCCAAAAAAGAAGAGTTTAGACCCCTCACCAATTTTCCATTCCGGTGGAATTCCGAGAAGAAACTGATGAAATCTTCCTTAATGCATTGCCACGCAAATTTAAGAAAATTGAAGTTGTACCCATCCGGTCCCGGGGCCTTTGAACCGTCACAGCTCCTTAACCCTTCCTCAATTTCTTCAATCGAAAAAGGTCTTTCTAGCCATTCTTTTTTCGCCTCTGAGATCTTTTGAAATTTGATACCCTCGGGCTTGGGTCTGTTCCATGGGTCGCCTTTGAACAAATTCCTAAAATATTTGACAATTTCGTCTTTGACTATTTCTGGATCTTCAATCCACTCCCCCTCACGCATTAAGCCAGCAATATTATTTTGCGCCCTTCTCCCGTTAGCCACTTTATGGAAGAAACGGGTATTCGCGTCGCCCTCTCTTATCCATCTGCTCCTTGACTTCTGCTTCCAGATTTGTTCCCTTCTTCGCAACACATCCCACATCTCAGAGAAACCTTCTTGCCTTTTAACAATTTCTAATTCCTCCAGATCCGCTACTTCATTCTGCATATCAACCTGCTCTATTTTTTTAACAGCCTGTACATACTGGGCTTCCATATTTCCGAATACCTCCTTGTTCCAACCTTTTAAGAACTCTTTCAACAGCTTTAACTTTTGTTTGCATTTGTACCCTGCAAAACCCTCCACTGCCATCTCTCTCCACTTATCTTCTACTACCTTCTTGAATTCAGGATGTTGTTGCCATGCATCTAAGACTCTAAAAGGCCTTGGTCCCCAGTCTGTTTGTTTAGACTTCAACACCATTGCACAATGATCAGAAATGTTTCTTGGCAGCCCCTGCTGTATCCATTCTCCTCCACTATTATACATCTCAGAACTCATCAAGAATCTGTCTAGTCTGCTTCTTGCTGTTCCATCTGGTTTATACCAAGTATATCGTCTATTCGTCAATTTAACATCCACCAGGCCTGTTGTTACAATGAACTCCTCAAAATCCCTCATACCTGAACACACCCCTGTTTTCCCTCGCCTCTCCTCAGGCCCTCTGACAGCATTAAAATCCCCTGCAATCAACCACCACCCTTCTTTGTCTATCATCCTCATCCTCAGCTCCTCCCACAGCTTAACCCTATTCTGTCTATCATTGGAACCGTACACATTTATTAAGCTGCACTGTTGTTTATTTACTCCCCATTCCCCTGATATTCCCACATACCCGTCCCCTGAAAACTCTTCACGCATAACAAAATTCCTTCTGTCCCATAAACATAGCAGACCCCCTGATGCTCCAACAGATGCCTTCGCAACCCATTCGAACTCATCAGAGTTCCATACCAACTTGCAAATGCCCACATCAATCCTCTCTAACTTCGTTTCCTGCAAGAATAGGAAGTCCGGCCTTTCCTCTCTTGTCAACTTTCCTACTTCCTTCCTCTTCACTAACCCACCCAAACCCCTCACATTAAAGGAAATAATCTTCATTTAAACAAATATGGACACACAACTTCACCTCTCTCACCCACACCTATACCCCCAACCCGT